AAGATTTCTAACAACTTTTAAATAGCTTTCATCGACTGGCTTTCTATCACAGATACCACTGTATTGTACATCAATGTAAGCGACACCCTCGAGATATCTTCGCCAAACTATCCAAGCAATAGTTCAGATGACATCGACAAAACTTGGATCATCCACGCGGAGGAGAACCAGAAAATCTACATCACCTTTTCTAGTTTTGAAGCTGATGAATACTACGCCTACTTTTCGGCGGGTGATGGTGACATCATTTACAGCAACCAGTTCTTCGAGTGGCACAGCTACAGCAGGTGGAATGAACCTCCCGATCTGATCTCTAATGGAAATCAGATCTGGTTGAGATTCACGTCCTATTGGAGTTCAACGCCATCTAGATTTGTGTTATCTGCTACAAGCATCCCATCGACTGGTAAGAATTGACCCATAAGCCTGTCAGACGTGACCATATATGATCAATAACTCTATGCCTTATTTGTAGTCACAACATGTCACTGCATTTATTGACAGCGGGCCTATAATATGCCTTTCATGAATTCCAATTTAAAAATGTTTTCGTTGTCATCAAGTCTAATTTAAAAATGTTTTCGTTGTCCTGTAGTAGCCAATGAACTAAACTTTGATGACAAGTTGTTGAAAAACAAACTTCAGAGGATGTTTGCAGTATAAAAGTGATTAGAACGGAAGGATGAACATGCTTTCGAGTCATAGTGTTTTATTATACTTTTGTCAATCCTAGCCAGCTTGGATTGTTAAAAGATGGAATTTTGCGTCGGGGTGATATCAATCAAATTAGGTTTTTTACCCTTCACCGACGTTTAAACACTGTATACTCAGTGTGTTACCTTCCGAGTGAAAGTTGGAAAAAATCAGTCGGGTGGGACTCGACCCACGACCTCCTGCTTTCTAGTGCAGATGTCGTACCACTCGACCACCGAGTTAACGGGATCGGTTAGCTGGTTCGAATCTGATGTACATCGCAGCGGATACCGCATAAACTATTACAAGATAATATAAGCGGAACCAGCCAACTTATCCCGTTAGCTCAGTGGTCGAGTGGTAAGATATCTGCACTAGAAAGCAGGAGGTCGTGGGTTCGAGTCCCACCCGAATGATTTTTCCAACTTTCACTCGGGAGGTAACACACTGAGTATACAGTGTTTAAGCGTCGGTGAAGGGCAAAAACCTAATTTGATTGATATCACCCCGACGCAAAATCCCTTTTTATAATAGTTTATGCGGTACCCGCTGCTATGTACATCATATTCGAACCAGCCAACCGATCCCGTTAGCTCGGTGGTCGAGTGGTAAGACATCTGCACTAGAAAGCAGGAGGTCGTGGGTTCGAATTCCCACCCAAGTGATTTTTTCCAGCTTTCACTCGGGAGGTGACACACTGAGTATACAGTGTTTAAACGTCGGTTGAACTTGAAGGGCAAAAAAACCCATAATTTGATCAGTTTGGATTGGGTTGTCATCTCCTTGTAATTTAACGTTTGAAACAAAATGCAGTCCTTTGTTGTGTAGTCTATCAAATTGAACGTTCCTGATTTTATTGAGGTGCAGTAAAGATGGAAATATTTCTTTAGGCGTTAAAGCAATGAAGCCATCAGACGACGCTGGTTTTTATACAACATGGTTTTGTCTAGAAAATTGAGTTACGCAACTGATAACAAACCACTCATCCTAGCAACATATTTTATTTACGACTTTTCTATTGTTCAATGAGTTGGCAAACGTGCTTCTTGTTTATGTTATGGGCCTGTAATATGCACTGGATGATGCCCGATTTAACACATGGCTTCGTTGTTTTGGGATAGCCCATAATTAAACTCCGTTGACTAATTCGTGACAAAAAAACTGCAGAGGATGTTTGCATTAAAAGTGATCAGAATTAAATGTGTCGTCCTTTTTCCTTTTTTTTTATATCAGAAAATTTGACTTGTGCTGCGGGTGAGTTTGACTGCGGTCATTCTGTGTGTATCAATGGCTCCTGGCGATGTGATTATCAGTGGGACTGCTACGGTGGAAGCGATGAACTCAGTTGCGGTAATTATGCATGATATTTTTGTCACATACTTGAATTAACTTCAAGTTTGTGACACAAAGTCATCGGTTTTGTGTTGCCTATCAAAACTATTAATCCTGAATGTATTGAAATACAGTAAAAATAGAGATATTTCCTTAGGCGTTGAAGAAATAAAGCCATCCGACGACGCTGGCCTTAAAACATAGAATGGTTTAATGTCTACAAAATAGAGTTAGGCAACTGACGACAAACCAATCACGAAACAACAGGTTTGATTTACGACTTTTTCTAATTGTTTTTAATAGGTGGGCAGACGTGGACGAGCGTGGCACCACCGGGGTATAATACTGGTAAATATTCAGTCCTTTACTAATAAAAAGTCTCAGATCACATTGACCCGAAATCCGAGTTCTATTTGACCTCACACTTTTCAGGGTCAAAACTGACACTTTTGGGGGTCGGAGTGCCACTCTTCCGACTCTTTTCTGTGTCAAATTTGATAAAGAATCATTGTCAATAGTGTCATTGTGACCCAAAAATATGTCGATTTTTACCCTTGAATCGTGTCAGGCCAATTGAAAAGCCAATTTCTGAGTCAAATCTCATCCGGGGCTTTTTTTAGAAACTACGTTTCGGTTGCAGAAAACTTTCAAACATATTGCTTTTAAAAGATCGGATATGCTCACGTCTCAGTTTGAGTATACCTTCGCTTGCCATATATTTTAAATTTGATTATAGTACGACCGATACAGCGGATAATAAAGAAGTGCAGTTAAAATGGGAGTCTGAACCCATTGCGAAAAAAAAACATTCAATCGCAAATATTTTGGTATTTCTGTGTGTTTGACGAATAATGGCTGAGCTTAATGTATAATCCGCATTAGCATCCGCAAAGGTGTTTCGTAAATTACTAATCAAGGGAGGCAGAAAACTGGACAATCAAGATATCCTTTCCTGAACGTACCCGACATCGTTTTAAAGCTTAAACATTTCTAATAACTCATTAATCCGCTCTTACACCAACCGACCTTCCTTCACAGAAACTGTTGTATTGTACATCAATGCAAGCGACACCCTCGAGATATCTTCGCCAAACTATCCCGGCAACTATTCAAATTACATTGACAAGACTTGGATCATCCACGCGGAGGAGAACCAGAAAATCTACATCACCTTTTCCAGTTTCGAAGCTGATGAATACTCCGCCTACTTTTCGGCGGGTGATGGTGACATCATTTACAGCAACCAGTTCTTCAATTGGTACAGGTCGAATGAACCTCCCGATCTGATCTCTACAGGAAATCAGATTTGGTTGAGATTCACGTCCTATTGGAGTTCAGTGCCATCTGGATTTGTGTTATCTGCTTCAAGCATCCCAGCGACTGGTAAGAATTGATCCATAAGCCGGTCACTCGTGACCACTCGTGATCATTAAATTTATGCTTTTTTTGTAGTCACAACAGGTGACTAAATTTATTTACAACGGGCTTATGATATACCATTCATGAAGTCCGATTTAAAATTGTTTTCGTTGTCATCGAGTCTAATCAAATAAAAAAAACATGCGTTGTCCTGTAGTAGCCCATGAACTTAATTTCGTTGACAAATTGTTGACAAACTTCAGAGGATGTTTGCGGTAAAGGTGATCAGAAATGAATGATGGACAGACTGACGAGTCACAGTGTTTTATTCTCTTTTTTGTCAATTCTGGCCAGCTTGGATTGGGTTGTCATCTTCTTGTAATTGAATGTTTGAACCAAAATGCTATCCTTTATTGTGTAGTATATCAAATTGAATTTTCCTAAAATTATTGAAGTGCAGTAAAGATGGAGATATTTCTTTAGATCCTCAACTAAGCAATGAAGCCATCAGACAAATAAACCATAGTTTTGTCTACAAAATTGAGTTACACAACTGATAACAAACCACTCATCCTAGCAGCATATTTTATTTACGACTTTTCTATTGTTTAATGAGTTGGCAAACGTGCTTTTATTTTATGTTATGGGTCTGTTATATGCAATTGATGAAGCCCGATTTAACAAATGGTTTCGTTGTTTTGTGATAACCCATAATTTAACTCCGTTGACTAATTCATGACAAAAAATGCAGAAGATGTTTGCATTAAAAGTGATCAGAACTAATCGTGTTGTCCTTCATCCTTTTTTTTGGATCAGAAAATTTGACTTGTGCTGCGAGTGAGTTTGACTGCGGACATTCAGTGTGTATCAATGGCTCCTGGCGATGTGATTATCAGTGGGACTGCTACAGTGGAAGCGATGAACACAGTTGCGGTAATTATGCATGATAATTTTGTCACATACTTGTATTAATTTCAATTTTATGACACTAAGTCATCGGTTATGTGTTGCCTATCAAAACTATTAATCCTGAATTTATTGAAGTACAGTAAAAATAGAGATATTTCCTAAGGCGTGAAAGAAATAAAGCCATCCGACGACGCTGGCCTTAAAACACAAAATGGTTTTGTCTAGAAAATTGAGGCAGGCAACTGACAACAATCCAATCACGCAACAACAGATTTGATTTGCGACTTTTTTAAAAATTGTTTTTAATAGGTGGGCAGACGTGGACGAGCGTGGCACCACCGGGGTATAATACTGGTAAATATTAACTCCTACACTAATTAAAAGTCCCGAGTCACATTGACCCGAAATACGAGTGCTACTTGACCTCACACTTTTCAGGGTCAAAACTGACACTTTTGAGGGTCGAAATGACACTTCTCCGACTCACTTTCTGTGTCAAATTTGACAAAAAATCACTTGCCAAGAGTTGCATTGTGACCCTTAAAAAGTGTCGCTTTTGACCCTGAATCGTGTCAGGCGAAATAAAAAAAAAAAAAATTCTGGGTCAAATCTTACCCGGGGCTTTTTTTTTTTAGAAACTACGTTTCGGTTGCAGCATACTTTCCAACATATTGCTTTTAAAAGAACGGATATGGTCTCGTCTCAGTATGCGTATGCCATCGTTTGCCACATATTTTAAATTTGATTATAATACGACCGATACAGCGGATAATAAAGAAATGTAGTTCAGTTGGGGATATGAACCCATTGCGAAAAAAAAATAATCGCAACTATTTTGGTATTTCTGTGTGTTTGACGAATAATGGCTGAGCTTAATGTATAATCCGCCAAAGCATCTGCAAAGGTGTTTCGTAATTGATGAATTACTAATCAAGGAAGGAAGAAAGCTGGACAACCAACATATCCTTTCCTGAACGTACCTGACATCGTTTTAAAGCTCAAACATTTTCAACAACTCATTAATCCGCTCTGATACCAACCGACCTCCCTTCACAGATACTGTTGTATTGTACATCAATGCAAGCGACACCCTCGAGATATCTTCGCCAAACTATCCCGGAAACTATTCAGATTACATCGACAAGAATTGGATCCTCCACGCAGAGGAGAACCAGAAAATCTACATCACCTTTTCCAGTTTCGAAGCTGATGAATACTCCGCCTACTTTTCGGCGGGTGATGGTGACAACATTTACAGCAACCAGTTCTTCAATTGGTACAGGTCGAATGAACCTCCCGATCTGATCTCGACTGGAAATCAGATTTGGTTGAGATTCTCTTCCTATTCAATTCCAGCGACATCTGGATTTGTGTTATCTGCTTCAAGCATCCCAGCGACTGGTAAGAATTGATAAAGCCTAAACAATTTTCGTTGTATTTTGATATCAATGATGCGTTGACTATTTTTGAAAACAAACTGCCGAGGACGTTTGTGGTAACACTTAATTACAATGTATTGGTTTCTTTCGTTTTTGTATCAGAAAATTTGACTTGTGCTGCGAGTGAGTTCGATTGCGGACATTCTGTGTGCATCAATGGCTCCTGGCGCTGTGACAAAATATATGACTGCTACGATGGAAGCGATGAATTCAGTTGCGGTAATTATTTATGCATGATATTATCTTTATAATCCACAACTTTTTGTCACATCGTGGCAATAACCTTAATTTTGTGGATAAAATGTCATCGGCGTTCTGCTGTCCATCACATTCAATTTTCCTGATTGATTGAATAGCAGTGAAGATGAAGATATTTCTTTAGGTGTGTAAAAAATGAATCCATCAGTCGACTCTAGCCTTGGATACATAATAATTATAATAATTATAATAATTAACTTTTAAATAGCTTTCATCGACTGGCTTACTGTCACAGATACCACTGTATTGTACATCAATGTAAGCGACACCCTCGAGATATCTTCGCCAAACTATCCAAGCAATAGTTCAGATGACATCGACAAGACTTGGATCCTCCACGCGGAGGAGAACCAGAAAATCTACATCACCTTCTCCAGTTTTGAAGCTGATGAATACTCCGCCTACTTTTCGGCGGGTGATGGCGCCAACCTATACAGCAACCAGTTCTTCGAGTGGCACAGCTACAGCAGGTGGAATGAACCTCCCGATCTGATCTCTCATGCAAATCAGATCTGGTTGAGATTCACGTCCTATTGGAGTTCAGTGCCGTCTAGGTTTGTGTTATCTGCTACAAGCATCCCATCGACTGGTAAGAATTGATCCACAAGCCGGTCACTCGTGACCATTTGTGATCAAAAACTTCCTGTTTTTATTTTATGGTCACAACACGTCACTTACTTTGTTGAAAATGGCCCTATAATTTACAGTTTCTGAAGTCTGATTTAATTTTTTTTGTCTTGTGATGGCCAATTAATTAACTCGTTGACGATTTGTTGAGAAAACACGTCAGAGGATGTGTGCAGTATAAAAGTGATCTGAACTGAAGGATGGACAGGCTTTCCAGTCACAGTGTTTTATTACACTTTTGTCAATCCTGGCCAGCTTGGATTTGGTTGTCATCTCCTTGTAATTTCAATTTCGAAACAAAATGCTATCCTCTATTGCGTAGTCTATCAAATCAAACTTTCCTAAATTAATTGATGTGCAGTAAAGATGGAAATATTTCTTTAGGCGTTAAAGCAATGAAGCCATCAGACGACGCTGGTTTTAAATGAACCAAAGAGTTTGGTTCAGAAAATTGAGTTACGCAACTGATAACAAAGCAATCACCCTAGAATCATATTTTATTTACGACTTTTCTATTGTTTAATAGGTTTGCACATGTGCTCCTAGTTTATGTTATGGGCCTGTAATATGCACAAGATGAAGCCCGATTTAACAGATGGCTTCTTTGTTTTGGGATAGCCCATAATTAAACTCGGTTGACTAATTCGTGACAAAAAAACTGTGCAGAGGATGTTTGCATTAAATGTAATCAGAACTAAACGTGTCGTCCTTTTACCTTTTTTTGTATCAGAAAATTTGACTTGTGCTGCGAGTGAGTTTGACTGCGGACATTCAGTGTGTATCAATGGCTCCTGGCGATGTGATTATCAATGGGACTGCTACGGTGGAAGCGATGAACTCAGTTGCGGTAATTATGCATGATAATTTTGTCACATACTTGTATTAATTTCAATTTTATGACACTAAGTCATCGGTTATGTGTTGCCTATCAAAACTATTAATCCTGAATTTATTGAATTACAGTAAAAATAGAGATATTTCCTTAGGTGTTGAAGAAATAAACAATCCGACGACGATGGCCTTAAAACACAAAATGGTTTTGTCTAGAAAATTGAAGTAAGCAACTGACAACATTCCAATCACGCAACAACAGATTTGATTTGCGACTTCTTTTAAATTGTTTTTAATAGGTGGGCAGACGCTGACGACCGTGGCACCACCGGGGTATAATACTGGTAAATATTCACTCCTATACTAATTAAAAGTCCCGGGTCACATTGACCCGAAATAAGAGTTCTACTTGACCTCACACTTTTCAGGGTCAAAACTGACACTTTTGGGGGTCTGAGTGACACTTCACCGACTCATTTTCGTTGTCAAAGTTGACCAAGAATCACCTGCCAATAGTGTCATTGTGACCCAGAGATGTGTCGATTTTGACCCTGAATCGTGTCAGGCCAATTCTGGATCAAATCTTAACCGGGGCTTTGTTTTTAGAAATTTCGTTCCGGTCGCAGCAAACTTTCCAACATATATATATTTAAAAGATCAGATATGCTCTCGTCTCAGTATGCGTATGCCATAGTTTGCCACATATGTTAAATTTGATTATAATACGACCAATACGGCGGATAATAAAGAAATGTAGTTCAGTTGGGGATCTAAGGCATTGCCAACAAAAATTAAATTGCAACTATTTTGGTATATCTGTGTGTTTGACGAATAATGGCTGAGCTTAATGTATAATCTGCATAAGCATCTGTAAAGGTGTTTCGTAATTGGTGAATTACTAATCAAGTGAGGAACAAAGCTGGACAATCAACATATCCTTTCCTGAACGTACCCGACATCGTTTTAAAGCTCAAACATTTTCAACAACTATTTAATCCGCTCTGATAGCAACCGACCTTCCTTCACAGATACTGTTGTATTGTACATCAATGCAAGCGACACCCTCGAGATATCTTCGCCAAACTATCCAAGCAATAGTTCAGATGACATTGACAAGACTTGGATCCTCCACGCGGAGGAGAACCAGAAAATCTACATCACCTTCTCCAGTTTTGAAGCTGATGAATACTACGCCTACTTTTCGGCGGGTGATGGTGCCAACCTATACAGCAACCAGTTCTTCGAGTGGCACAGCTACAGCAGGTGGAATGAACCTCCCGATCTGATCTCTCATGCAAATCAGATCTGGTTGAGATTCACGTCCTATTGGAGTTCAGCGCCATCTAGATTTGTGTTATCTGCTACAAGCATCCCATCGACTGGTAAGAATTGACCCATAAGCCTGCCTTATTTGTAGTCACAATATGTCACTGCATTTATTGACAGCGGGCCTATAAAATGCTCTTCATGAAGTCCAATTTAAAAATGTTTTCGTTGTCATCAAGTCTAATTTAAAAATGTGTTCGTTGTCCTGTAGTAGCCAATGAACTAAACTTCGTTTGGGTGATATCAACCAAATTAGGTTTTTTGCCCGTCACCGACATTTAAACAATGTATACTCAGTGTGTTACCTCCCGAGTGAAAGTTGGAAAAAATCACTTGGTGGGACTCGAACCCACAACCTCCTGCTTTCTAGTGCCGATGTCATATCACTCGAGCACCGAGCTAAGGGGATCGGTTGGCTGTTCGAATCTGATGTACAACACAGCGGATACCGCATAATCTATTATAAGATAATATAAGCGGTACCCGCTGCTATTTACATCAGATTCGAACCAGCCAACCAATCTCGGTAACTCGGTGGTCGAGTGGTAAGACATCTGCACTAGAAAGCAGGAGGTCGTGGGTTCGAGTCCCACCCGAGTGATATTTTTCCAACTTTCACTCGAGAGGTAACACACTGAGTATATAGTGTTTTAACGTCGGTGAAGGGCAAAAAAACCCCTGATTTGATTGATATCACCCCGACGCAAAATTCCTTCTTATAATAGTTTATGCGGTACCCGCTGCCATGTACATCAGATTCGAACCAACCAACCGATTCCGTTAGCTAGGTGCTCGAGTGGTAAGACATCTGAACTAGAAAGAGGGAGGTCGTGGGTTCGAGTCCAACCCGAGTGATTTTTCCAACTTCCACTCGGGTGGTAACGCACTGAGTATACAGTGTTTAAGCGTCGGTGAAGGGCAAAAAAAACTAATTTGATCAGCTTGAATTGGGTTGTAATTTTTCGTTTGAAACAAAATGTAATCCTTTGTTGTGTAGTCTATCAAATTGAACGTTCCTGGTTTTATTGAGGTGCAGTAAGTAAAAATGGAGACATTTTTTTAGGCGTTAAAGTAATGAAGCCATCAGACGACGCTGGTTTTAAATACAACATGGTTTTGTCGAGAAAATTGAGTAACGCAACTTATAACAAAACACTCATCTAGCAACATATTTTACTTACGAGTTTTCTATTGTTTAATGGGTTGGCCAAAAGTGCTTTTATTTTATGTTATGGGTCTGTTATATGCAATTGATGAAGCCCGATTTAACAAATGGTTTCGTTGTTTTGTGATAACCTGTAATTTAACTCCGTTGACTAATTCATGACAAAAAATGCAGAAGATGTTTTCATTTAAAGTGATCAGAACTAAACGTGTCGTCCTTTTTCCTTTTTTTTTTTGTATTAGAAAATTTGACCTGTGCTGCCAGTGAGTTTGACTGCGGACATTCAGTGTGTATCAATGGCTCCTGGCGATGTGATTATCAGTGGGACTGCTACGGTGGAAGCGATGAACTCGGTTGCGGTAATTATGCATGATACTTTTGTCACATACTTATATTAATTTCAATTTTATGACACTAAGTCATCGGTTATGTGTTGCCTATCGAAACTATTAATCCTGAATTTATTGAATTACAGTAAAAATAAAGATATTTCCTTGGGTAATGAAGAAATAAACCATCCGACGACGCTGGCCTTAAAACACAAAATGGTTTTGTCTAGAAAATTGAAGTAAGCAACTGACAACATTCCAATCACGCAACAACAGATTTGATTTGCGACTTTTTTTTAAATTGTTTTTAATAGGTGGGCAGACGTGGACGACCGTGGCACCACCGGGGTATAATACTGGTAAATATTCACTCCTATACTAATTAAAAGTCACGGGTCACATTGACCCGAAAAAAAAGAGTTCTACTTGACCTCACACTTTTCAGGGTCAAAACTGACACTTTTGGGGGTCTGAGTGACACTTCTCCGACTCATTATCTTTGTCAAAGTTGACCAAGAATCACCTGCCAAGAGTTGCATTGTGACCCAGAGAAGTGTCGATTTTGACCCTGAATCGTGTCAGGCGAATTCTGGGTCAAATCTTAACGGGTTTTTTTTTTGGAAATTTCGTTCCGGTCGCAGCAAACTTTCCAACATATACATATTTAAAAGAACGGATATGCTCCCGTCTCAGTATGCGTATGCCATAGTTTAAATTTGATTATAATACGACCGATACGGCGGATAATAAAGAAATGTAGTTCAGTTCGGGATCTAAGGCATTGCGAAAAAAAATTATATTGCAACTATTTTGGTATTTCTGTATGTTTGACGAATAATGGCTGAGCTTAATGTATAATCCGCAAAAGCACCTGCAAAGGTGTTCGTAATTGATGAAAAATTACTAATCAAGTGAGGAACAAAGCTGGACAATCAACATATCCTTTCCTGAACGTACCCGACATCGTTTTAAAGCTCAAACATTTTCAACAACTCCTTAATCCGTTCTGATACCAACCGACCTTCCTTCACAGATACTGTTGTATTATACATCAATGCAAGCGACACCCTCGAGATATCTTCCCCAAACTATCCCGGCAACTATTCAGATTACATCGACAAGAATTGGATCCTCCACGCGGAGGAGAACCAGAAAATCTACATCACCTTTTCCAGTTTCGAAGCTGATGAATACTCCGCCTACTTTTCGGCGGGTGATGGTGACAACATTTACAGCAACCAGTTCTTCAATTGGTACAGGTCGAATGAACCTCCCGATCTGATCTCGACTGGAAATCAGATTTGGTTGAGATTCTCTTCCTATTCAATTCCAGCGACATCTGGATTTGTGTTATCTGCTTCAAGCATCCCAGCGACTGGTAAGAATTGATCTATAAGCCGGTCACTCACAACCACTCGTGATCAATAACTTTCTGCTTTCACGTTGTTGTCACGAAATTTAACGAAATCTTAAGTGGGCCAACAATATACATTAGATAAAGCCTAAACAATTTTCGTTGTATTTTGATATCAATGATGCGTTGACTATTTTTGAAAACAAACTGCCGAGGACGTTTGTGGTAACACTTAATTACAATGTATTGGTTTCTTTCGTTTTTTTATCAGAAAATTTGACTTGTGCTGCGAGTGAGTTCGATTGCGGACATTCTGTGTGCATCAATGGCTCCTGGCGCTGTGACAAAATATATGACTGCTACGATGGAAGCGATGAATTCAGTTGCGGTAATTATTTATGCATGATATTATCTTTATAATCCACAACTTTTTGGTCACATCGTGGCAGTTACCTTAATTTTGTTGATAAAATGTCATCGGCGTTCTGCTGTCCATCACATTCAATTTTCCTGATTGATTGAATAGCAGTGAAGATGGAGATATTTCTTTAGGTGTGTAAAAAATGAATCCATCAGTCGACTCTAGCATCGCATACATCATAATTATTCGCATCTAAAAAATTGAGTAACGGTACCAACCAGGAAACAATCGGCACAAGAATGGATGTAACGTTCCGACTTGTATTAATTGTTTTCAAACGTGGATCACCGTCAAGACACCGGGTATAATCCCGGTAAAAATTGACTCCACAATTGCTCTTGCGTAATGAAAATTTCACAGCAATATTGATTATTAAAGAACGATTAAGTTCACATATCGGTTTGGCACAATTACGTTTGTCAAATATCTTTTAAG